CTCCCTCCCTCCTGCTTATCATTAGTTATCTCATATTGGTTTTAAAGTTTATTTATTTACCCCTTTTTTCATCTGCTTCAATATATATCTATATACTTTCGTATTACTGTACGTCCTGGGTCCACGAATGCCATAGGATTTACATTGCGACTTGTTTGCACATGGGTAGCTTCTGCTTTTTCCACGGTGGCCGTAAGGGCAGAGACCAAGAAATTTATTCGCAAAAGAGCCCACGCGCTGCGAGTATCGTGTTTCGTATTTCCCATAATCCACGTACACGTCGACCCCGGGCTTCCCTTGTTCCCCTGTACGTCCATGATATTTTCACTTACGCCCCCGGGACTCGCTCTCATCACGAGGGCAAAACTCTTGCATTTTCAGTTAAATGCCCTCTTCATATTAATGAACGGGTTATATTCGCTTTAACCATTGCGCGGAACCCGTGCTTAAGAAATGTGACATACGCTGGGGGTTAGGCGGGCATACACGTATGTAATATACATATTTGTATATAAATACGTACTTCCGGGTATAACGAAACACATATTCATTTGGGCTTACCCCACTGTAAATATACGTGTACGTATATACGTGGCTAATTGAGCGTAAAATTTAATTAATTAGCAAACCCTCCACCGTTGAACGGGTTCAATATTTTCATATGTCTATATACCGTCAACCCTTCGTCGCTGCTCCCTCACTTCAGAACCTATGGCATCTTACACACTTAATATTTACCCAACCATCCGGATCGGCTTATTAATTCGTTCCTCGAAAGTTGCGCGATTTAATTTGCGAATTCAGGTAAGCGTGGCTAATTTGTAATTTTTATAATTTCAATATCGCCTCGCCCGAGCACACTCTTTTTTACACGTGATTCATTCGGTCACGTATAACGCTGCTAGGAATATAATTTCATACCCACAATTGATATTTATTTTAACTATATCGTCAGCCGATCTATACGTATACAATGTACACATAACTCGCGGGATTAAACGAAGTCAATACGTCTTGCAGAATTGCATGCGGTGCAAGGTGGGATATTACCTACCTGTTAGTTTCCAGTTGTTCGCAGGGCTTGCAAGACTGTAGAAACTTTCAAACAATTAAGTGGAAAATGCGGGAGATGGGGTTTATATAGCGTGTAACGTGTAAGCTATAGGTCAAAAAAAAAAGAACACGTTACACGATATCGAGTAAAACCAGCAGACACACAAAAGTAAAGAAACGTCTTACAAAACGATTATTCGTTTATTAATAAACATTGCATTTACGATAAACACGAATTGAAAATTTCGTATGAATATAATGACTTTTTTTTTGTTGTTGTTATTCCTCATAAGCTAAAACATCCCAAGAATCGTCGTTCGCTATGCCCTAATTAAATACCTCAAATTACTTAAATCGTTATACGCATATCGGCAGTATCGTTGTAGAGTAATTTAATGAAATTAATCGCCCGGTCTTCGAACATGATTAATTAATCAGATTCTAAAATTAATCGATTGGCTTTTACGGCCGATGATAAATTCACGTACATTTTTTTTTTTTTTTTGGTATTCCTTATCATTAATTTTCATGTAAAATTCAATGCCACGAGATTAACCATGTCGATCGATAGCGGATGACGATTCTATTGGGACTTTACAGAGATCGCATTGCGATCACGTGTCAAACGGCCCGACGACTGTTGGCGGTTCGGTGAGAACGCGGCTTTTCCACAGTGATATCACGTAATGCACGTCGGACGCCTGGCGTCGCGTTACACGGGCGTCTCCTCTGTCATTCGGCAAAATGATTGTATGACGATGAGCGTGATCGGGGATCGGGGTCAGGGGTTCACGGTGCTCAAGGTAAATGACTGTGGGGATATGATAGCACGTACGTGCGTGGAAACGTGTCGGTACTAATTTGATTCCGACCATTTAACGTAGTCGATGACAGTCGATCGGCGTTAAACGGCGCCAACTAGGCCGAACGATACGGCGAATTGACGATCATTCGAGAATCGCCTGTACAGGTGACTTCCTGCAGCCGTCGCTACGACACGCTTATGCATTACGATGTCTTTACGCTTAATTAACGCGACGTAAGAAACTAAGGTCTCTTAATCGTACATACATATACAGGATAGATTACATTATTAGCTTAACGACAACGACACGCTTTATTTTATTTTCATCATTTTTTTTCTTCTTTTTGGAATAATGTTTTTTTTTTTGGGTTTTGTATTTTTTTTTTTTTTTCTTTTTAAACGGCTGCTATTGACTTCTCACTCTCTCTTCTCTGTCTCTGTCTCTCCTGCGGCTTTACGGTCCCTCGTGAAATTCATGCTTTATCGTTCCGTCGCATATTTCACTGAGGATTACGCAGACACAGCCTGACACGCGTACGGTTATGTACCTACGCACGTGATCGCGAATAGACACAGGATATCCGTAATACAAGGCTGAACGACAAAAGTGACTTGGAAATTTATGATGATTTTATCGACATCGATCAAAGCGTCCACGACGGAGCCGCGCGATCGTTTTTCGTTATCGAGGTGCCAACTCTCTGTGTAATACAACGTACAGGAGTCCCCCCACGGGTATGAAACGTACTGCGCGGCTGGACCGTAGATGTGGATGCTGATTTTTTTTTTTCGGTATAATTAAAACAAATTTTTGTTTTCTCATTGCAGCGTAAAATTCAATTCCTCCTTGATTACGTAATCGATAAGCTTTCAGTTCGCTCGTAAATTCTCATCTAATTCCGACTCGCTGTATTTTAAGGAAGCACAGGCAAGTACCTATTGCAGGATCGTCACGTGGTACGGGTCACGTGTTCACGTAAGGGGTGCGAAGATGAATGACGAAAAAAAAAGACAGAATTATTCCTCTAACAGTTCCACTTTGACAGATGCGAACCGTTGAAACGAATACACGTGTAATCGCATCGTTCGTTATCACTAATAATTGCTAATACATTAGACGATCCCGTCGAAAGATTTACAATTAACGTTCGTAGCGCGTATCTTGACCTTACAATTTATATAGCACGAGATACAACGACAATAAGAAAAAAAAAGGTAATAATAACGCGTAGGACTAAAAAAATTCGAAAGACAATTATTCATCATTATCGTCGTCACGCTCGTAATCGACGACACGTATGCGCGACTTACGATAATCATAATAATCTTTATTGCCGTTGCCAGGGACAATATATACAGAGGTAATGCGTGACCGAATCAAGTATAAAAAATAATAAATAAAAAACAACCACAAGAACGTGAAAATTGATAACAGTGGTATACGCCAAAAAAAAAAAAAAACAGCTGTCGGTACGTAAGATTCCGTATAAAACGTTTTTTACCATCCTTTCAGTCTATACGTGACGTGTGTTATGTTCCCCTTTATAAGTTGAGTGAAAAAATAAAAAACCAACTTATCGACATTAAATAATAATATTAGCTAGTTTCGAGCGCGCGAGGTACCCCTTACTCTTTCCCCTACCGACATGCCAGCCACGTGGTCAACAGGTAGGGCACGTAGTGCAGCGGGCTCACTCTTTGCGATCCGACCGATGCAAGGGCGTCGGCGTAAGAGGAGAGACAATCCCTGTAGGAGTCAGGATTCAGACGGGTCACCGCACAGTAGTGGCGCAATGCACAAGCTCCGTTGAGCGCACCGCCGCAGCCCCAGATTTCCTCGACTTCGCGTGGCAGCGAGACCGTGTTCGCTGCGTAATATCTGGGGAAAAACAGGACAAAGTGTTCAGTACAAGAGACACTTGGGTTAGGCTGAGACAGGACGTTTACCGTACGTGTGGGAGATAGAGTGAAAATATGAAAAGTTCAATAGATCCGAAGCAACGTTTTTGTCGAAGGGGTGCGAAGGGGTTGGTAATGCGGGTAGGGTATAGTCGTGGCATATGTATCCTCTGAGGGGTGACGTAATCCGCGCGTACCAATTACCGCGATACCGTCTCACCGGCTTCTTGGTATCTTCTAATTAGGCATATCTCGTTGCGCGATTAATCTGCGAATTCGCGAAATTTTCGTCTCCAATTAGCGCCCTTCTACTTTATTCCGTCTGCGCCACTTGATTCTACGATCTTGAGGGGGCCCCTCACGACGCCAGCGTAATAACTTGTCGAGCGAGTAGGGGATACAATTGGTGAAATGAACCTTTTCAGGGATTTCTGGAAGGTCCTTATTAGCCTGTTACTCCCGGAACACATTGTGCGGTTGGTATTAATGCAGTTCGCGTGGAAATCTTATTTACAAATCAATTTCACGCACGACTCTCACGTTCCCCTTGGGCCTTTAGGGCTCGAGTCGATATATTTGCAATAGTGACGTAATGAAATTTTTTTTGTCAAATTTCTATATTTATTTTTGCCACTTTACGTACGCGCATACTTTATCCAGATATACGTTACACTTAATACACCTCGCCCGTATGTACGGCCCCATTATGATATAAATATTCACGGGGTTTGGTAATTGAAAGAAATTATGAGGGTGGATCAAAAGCTTGAATTTCTATGGGAACGCGTGCTTTGATATTCGTTTCGAATAATTTAACCGCACGTTATAACTCGGCCTAATTTGACCCACGTGGAAAGGAATTTAAAGGGCAGGACTTTTCTCCGATGCTTGTTAGAGAACAAAAATTTTTTTTTTTTCTACGGAGAGTCACGTGGTCCAGGATGAAATTAATGAAAGGTCACTCGGGGATATCTGCTTAGTCGTGGAGTTTATTGGGTAAACGATTACCTGAGTCCAACCGATGTGCAGGTATATGGAGTTCAATTAAATATATATATATACATGTATATGGCAACCAAGAAATTTAGATATCGTTGTTAACGATGCAATTAATTATCGTTACTTTGACTCACCTGACGAACGCACTGTCGGACGATTGCGTGAATCTGTCGGCGAGATCATGAAGACTGAGGGCAGTTATCTCCTTTAGGTCGTAATGCGCCAGCATCGAGTATTCGGTAATCCAATTTGCTTTGCCGGCGGAATTGGCGTCCGGTAGATTCAAATAGAATTGCTTGTAATCTAGAACCTGACGGATGAAACGAAACGCGTGATATCGGGATGTATCACGATGGATATACGATTTGAATTGAATTCTTTGAACTTCCCAGAAATCCGACTTTTATCTCTCTCTTTGGCTGATTCCGAAAATTCGAAAATAATATATATATATATATATATATGCTCGTGGGTTCACAATTCATTCGGTTGCCGCTTGTCTCGCTTCCTCGTGAAACTTCTGTATATTTAGACACGGGGTGTTACCGATGCGAATTCAATTTTTCAAAGTCCAATGAATTTGTATATACGTATGTACGGCTGGCTTTAATAGCATCTGACAGCATTTCTTATTACAGTTGACATACGTGATATCATGCAAGAGTGTCAGATGCTCGAAGGATGTAGGAATTTTGGAAAGAACGTTGGCTCCGCAAAGCTATAGCTATGTACGTCGGAATGCTAAGCAAGATATATTGCAGAGTTATACATACTACGAATATCATTTAGAATTTCGTATATTAAAAGTCTAAGGAAACGTAAGAATTCTTGTAGCTGTATGGAAGGAAATAAAATAAATAAATAAATGGCCAACATGTGTAATCTTACGTTGTCGTATTTACGAATTTGAAACTCGAGAAATGATCTGCGAGCGGAATGACGTTTAACGGCGAAACCATAGAAAACTTTGATCTTCGATGTACGTAAAGAAAATTCCTTCGTCGGCGCCCACGTGGCTCGAAATCGTGAGCGTTGACGCGAAAAAATCGATGGGACGGAATTGCTCGTAAGAATTTCGCATAAAAATAATTGTACGACGTAAAGGCGTTATGGTCTGAGACCCGAGTTCATTGTGCGATAGAAAAACCACAATTTTCCACGAGTAGATCTTTTTATACGTGGATGAACTTAATTCGAGACTTTTTCGTTTTTACACTGGGGTTATAATAATTTTGTATTGTAAACGATATATCAAGGGTTCGCTTTCACGAGAAATTCTATTATATCCAAAAAGCATATATATATATATATATATATATATATATGTACATATATATATTCTGGCTCTCTATAACGCCATGTTGCTGAAAACGTGAGGTAGCACTGAATTTCTTTCTTTTTACAAATAACTGTCACTAGAGAAGCTAGTCACGTTCGGTCGCCTTTTATGACTAAAACGTTTATAACATTTTTCTTTTGGGGCCCAGGGTCTGGATTGGCCCCGAAAAATAAAAAGTAAAAAATGCAGGTAACGAAAAATACAGTCGCTACGATTCTCTCCGGGTTGCCCCAGAAATTTTGAACATTTTTCCGGCACGTAGCTCGTGCCGATGTTGAAAAATGCGTATGGCTATTATTTGCGCGAGTGCTCGGACAATTTAACGATGCACAAAGCTCATTACCTGTCCGGTATTAGTTTCGAACTTGTACAGACGTAACCCGGGATTATTTGGACCGCCCGGACTGCTGGGCGTTAAACTAGGCGCCATCATCATCCAGGAAACCGGAACGCCTGTGAATAAATTAAATGGAGAAATTGTTATTATCATCGAATCGGCATTAATATCACGTGACATCTTCCATTTAAATTTATCTTATTGTAATTCTGCTCTATGCAATTTTTAACTTTGATATCCGAGTGTCCATTGGGTATAAAATACAAAACTACAGCGCTATATCTCTTTACGCTATACTACTCTGTCGATGGTAAAATAAAAAAAAATTGTCCTTTTTATCCGACACCTGATCCTAGTAGGATAATCGATATCAGGTATATATATATATTTTTTGAATTCTTGAATATCCCAGTCGAACCGTTTGACACGAGAAAGAAAACTTGTCGCGTTGAATTTCATTGGATTCAATTATTGTTGATAAGCGCGTAGAAAATAAGTCGTTAAAAAATGTATCATATCAATTCACTCGAGTTTCAATCTATTTGAAAATTTCAATATATAATTTTCATAGTAGTCATTTCTCTATGTGAATTTCTTGAAAAATTCACTGTATATATATATATATATATATATATATATCGAATTACATGGAAAGTTCATTTATTGTTGGCTCTTCTGAATAGCACGGAAGAACTTAACAGAGCTGAAAGTTCCATTAAGACGAATGTAACTTGTCTCGATTCCTACTACTTTCCGTTCTATCTATCGGCCATTGATGGGATGCAAATAACGAGAGAACGAAGTCCCGATGAAATACCTATAACGATTATAATGGTTAGATTGAAAAAGTCCTACCGGTGTCGCTGTAGATTACACGAAAGGTGTCGGAATGCCAGTGCCCAAAGAATTGTCCACGAATAATGTCGGAGTATTGGCGAACGAGTCTGATATATCTTTTATTGTGCTTCTCGTGCAAAGCGCTGGCTCCGCCTTCGCGTTCGTAAACGCCCGGCGGCGTGTGACCCACGATGTATACCTGATTGGAGAAAATGATTGAAATTAAAAAAAAAAAATCAAAATTCAAAAAAATTTGTAACAACCACACGTATATACAAACTATCAATATATCTTGACAAGGTGCAAGTGTAACCCTTGTTATCTCAGAGCCTTGCGTGTCTAATCATCGTATGTGTAACTCTGTACCTTACGGATACGTGATAACTGGATCGGCGTGTAATACGAAGAAATCGATAAAATCGAACGAAGCGATAGAAAAAAAAAAAATGTATCAATAAAATCGACTTCTGTGCTACTTACTACCTCGCTTCTTAATTGCATTAAAGATTTATCGCGCGGGGACTCTCTTAAATTATTCGCGGAAATTAATTAATCAAGCCCTGTAAGATTTATTCGGATAGCATTGTACCGTGGTGGGGAAAATGATAATGACCTTCCTCCCTGTATACGAGATACAACGGTTCACGCTCGATATTAGAAAATTGTAACGTGATCGATCTTCCGTTACGTCACGTGGAATATTGAATATCGGGTAAAAATAATTTAATCCACGCTCGAACGTTTACTGGGAAAATCCCTTTAAGTTATATTGGCAAAATTCCACGAAGCATCGTTTGCCTTATGAGTAAATCAAGGTGGTCATCTTCCTCGTATCCCATACGTACATATGTGCTCTCCATGTGGCGCATACTTTGTATATGTCTATATACGTATATATCGTATTACGTACCGAAGTGTATAGCTCACAGAGCGCCATATGTATAGAGAGCAGGGTAGGTCCTTTCTGCGGGAACGTGTTTGAAAATTCCGCGATAACGCAAGGGATCTGATAGCAGCAGATTATGAGTTTATCGGGTGCATTCGCGAAACTCAGATACTCGGTTAGATAATTAATTAAGTGTGGGATAAACAGAATTCATCTAACTGCGTATAGTATGTCGTACGTACAGATACGGAAATTATTTCGCCCGGTAGACGTTCGCTATCCCCTTTTATATTTTACGATTGATCCACTAGGTCACCTATTAATTTTTTCCCACTCCCGTTCAAGGAGCGACGTAAGAGGGCGAATTAACGAAGATCGATGGCCGTCGTGTTATGACTTATGAATTTCTGCTTGGTATCGAAGTAAGCGAAACGAATATCGAGCTCTTTTTTTTTTTGTAATTTATTATCGATTACGATTACCTGCCTGAAGATACTGTAATATTTAAACTGACATGTGTGCGTACGTGTATATTATGTAGCTGCTTGAAAGTATACACGTTATCTAGAGCAGCCCTAAAATGTCAATGGTCAATCGTTAAGCCGCCATGAAGATCGTACTGGAATTAACCGACCCTCCGTGACCCTCGGAACTCGTGGGATTTACATAGTTTTTTTTTTCCACGAACGCTGCCTTTATGTACTTCCTGCTCTGTACGATAATGTCGAAAGCGGTAACTTTCGCTAGATTCAAGCAAAATGCTGCAAGGAACATGAGAGTTTGCATACCAATGACGTTACGTCTTGTATTTTTTTTTGTTATTTTTCTTCTTGTGGACTTTTTACCGCTACGACTAGTTTCCAGTATAGCTATTTCCGAAAATATCTCTATCTTGATACCTGCAGAAGGGTTCCTGGAGCAATCAACGTAGTACTAAAGGTTTATAGTTTCTCGTTGATCATAAAACCAATTTGCACACACCTGTAGTCAAGATTGACTACCGATGCGATACGTGTTTCATTGTGTCCCCGGTAGAGCGCGCCACCGGCGCCCTAGTCAGCTGTCCGCGCATGCGCGTACACAAGCTTAGACGAATTAATACTACGGAATTGGCTTTGAGCGGAGTGGATACGCTTTGGGTCTGGAGATAACGTGAAAGCGATTGATCCGACGTAACTCAATCTACAAAGTTTGGTTTTGTGGTTTACTAATTCTACACCTGAATCAGGGAGTCCCTTCCATAATTTAACGAATGCCTCGACCGGCAAGTTTCCGACTCGCTGTCTCGCAGCGGATGGTTACGGTAGATTAGATTGACATGTTCCTAGCTTTCTCAGTGCTATGTTACATTCGGCATCGAAGACATGGTTTATGTGGCGTAGACTGATTCGACTTCAGAGTGCAGCCGCGGACTTGGATAAATCGATAACTGCTTCGATAGTAATCGATTGGGTAAGTTCCGGTTTATTGGTTTACTGGTTTAAGATGTGCGCTTAAAGTAGGTCCATGAAAATCCGTCTATAATGAATCTTCTAGACTACCTTACTACCATCCTTAATTATTGAGCTTAAGAAGTTACTAAGTACGTGATATATTGCTGATCTTCTACGACGTATGGACGTAGTTCCTGTTGCTCTCAGGCTATTTGTTAACATTGTTCCTGGAGGCGGTATCCGGTTTTCGCGAAACTCGCTTAATCCTAATCCTCGTTTTACTTCAGCTGTCCATGTTACTCGTGTTCTGTCACTAAATTACGGTGTATTATTCACTGTGAGTGTCCTTCTCCAGACAACCCTAATGAAATATGAAATTTACCACAGTGTTATTACTTAAAAAGGACTGACTTTTCCATGTTTAATTCAAAGCTTGCCTCGATTCCAATAATATTTATTGGAACAGGAATAGAACGCATACTTTCGTATTCCCTCGGGAATAACTCAATGAAGATGGTCATTCACTAAATATCATTGAAATACGATTTTGTTTAATTACGTAAGAATTTATTGAGTTTCGCGTAACTTTGACGTTTCTCTGTTTTTTTTTTCTCGATCCTTTTTCTTCGACGTCAATCAGTACTTAGGAACGATTAAGCATCGGCAATACTTATCGTTACAATTTACATTACAAATCGTCACAGCTTGAGAAAAAAACAAATAAAAATTCACCTTATTCAATCTCCGTGTAATCTCAAGAATTAAGGTTCGAACAAACATAGGATAAAACGTGACGCGTATCCTCAATGCTTCTCAATCCCAACAGGGAGCAAAGAGCCAGCAGCAGTTTTTCAATCTGGACCAATCTTAAGTCTATCTGATTTTATTTCACAGTAATACCTCATTGATCGAAGGATAATTCGAATTTAATTATTTCTTCATTTTTCTCAAATATCCTTGTTCTTGTACAGAATATCAATTGAAAAATACTACTCGCCAGTTTCCAGGTATATTTATTTTCCTCTGTCGCTCATGCATAGCCATAATAATAATCTGCGTGCGTTGCACAACAAAGTTGCTTGAAATATTTCTATCGTCTGCCTATTCGTTACAGGGCAAAGTACCGTCGGGCCAAGAATTATTGACGTCGATATTTACCTCAATGGGACTGCTATTATCGGCGAAACGATACACGGGCCAAACCAACAGGTCCCAGAATCCGAGGGTATATTGGTTGTTGCATTATTCAATGTATCGTAGCCACATTGGACCACTGGAAATTAGGATCGTGATCCCTTAATGTGAGTGTGGCTTAACGAAAACTGATATCCCGTCTTGCGGGCGACGTATAAATTAGCCCCAAAATTGGATATAGGCTTTAACACGCGAAAATGGAGAATAAATTTTAAAAATTTTTTCGGTAACACGTTTTTCACCAGTGCTCGTTCGGCTTCGAATTCAAATTGACAAACATTTTAATCTGCCCGCCATATACAAAGCGCGCGTCTCTACCGTTAATTCCATCAATGTCAAAAAAGCGAGCTTCTCAAATTTCGATTTGGCAAATATCGACGCGATGGATTATTCAATAAAATTACATCTTCGTTTGCATATCCATACCTGCAACGTGTAACTGTGCACCGGTCGCAATGTGTCAAATGTGATTTGCACTATGTGATAATGACATTAAAGCATAGAGCGTATAACTTTGTCCCTGAAAACTTCATAGGCGAGTAATACGAGAGGAAACTATAGTTGAAGTACCCTAAGCTCCTTGGTATGTTATACCAATCCGAGTGTTCGATCGATCGACAAGCTTTATATCCCCCCAGTGAAACGTGAATCGTATAAGGGACGATTTTACCAGGCGCAAAGTCTTGAGCCCTTTGACGAGATCCATCGAGCGTGGAGAATACGTATCTCCCCGTTTAACGTAGGCTTTAACTTTCCCGCAAGGTGTTAATGCAAAGGGTTGAATTTTATGCGCGATGAAAAACCATTCCGACCGGAAGTGAATGGGGTTTGCTTGCTTTTCGAGCGGATACACTTATCTCAAATGTTTATGGCCATATCAAGGCAAATACGTATGTTCCCATGATATGACTCTTACGAATGAACGTCAAGACCATACGTGCTGAAGATCCGTCATGATAAATAAAAAAAAAAAATTTCCAAAATTGTTTTCATTTTTCCAAAATTTTCGCGAAAGCAGCTCGATATTCGCAATCGGCAACGAAGCTTCGAAAGTCCAAACGAAAGTCTTGGGATTTCACAGAGCAACTGGCTACACCCAATAAGTTAATCGTATTTCCAAGCGAATTGCTTTGGAATTATTGGTAAATTAATTATTCGCAATAGCGGCCGTACATTTGCCGTTAAAATAACATCCAATAATCTCCGTACACCGTGTAGGTATTTGGGATCGTGAAAATCGCACTAAAACTTCATATAATGTAAGCGCAACTTTATGCTCCACTCGCTGCTATTATGTAAGATTTATTGCCGAGGTCCATTCGCGTCCCGCGTATAGGTACTACAGGCTGAACGTGGTACTCCGTGATGGGAGCGATCGGTGCCCCAGGTATTTCTCGAAGAACGTCAACGTTCATAGCACAACTTTATATAGCACTTTGTTACTTATTGGATCGTTCGTTTCATTATGTGTGCGGAAGGTTAGTACGTAGCCGAGTTAGCATCGCGAAATAATAGAGAGATTGACATTTACTTACGGTTTCCGCTTTGATGCGTGCTTTCCGCAGATTATTCTCCAGCCACGTCCATTGCCCACTTGGATCGGCCGAATGATCGATCACTTGCCCACCGTTACGTTGAGGTACGCGATTATCAATTATGGACGAAGTGCTCAGCCAAAGATTTGTATTTAGAAATATGATGTGATAATTCTCCGAGCGCTGCTCGATCGTGTAAAATCCAGCTGTTGACAGATTTGGAAAAAAAAAAAATTATTTTTGAAATTTCTTTTTTTCCCGTAATTTACAACCATGCATGCGTACGGATGATGATCCATCGAGACTACCCGGTATACGATTCTTTGTAATAATCGGGCATGCTAGGAATTTGAACGTTAAAAAAAAAATTTAAGCACTTTCAACACGCAACCCTCTTATTCCTTCTAAGGTGCGTGTTACGATTAATTAAGGTTGGTACACACGATACAGGAAAGATTTGAGCAAGATTGGTGTCAAAGCTGTGGGTTGAAAAAAAAAGACTTTTTTTTTCTCTCTCTTTTCACTTTCCAATACAGCGACTCGCGTCGATGTATTTAATCAGCTTAACGAAGCAGTCATTCGAGGTATTGCAGTTCTGGCTTAATGATTTTACACGTGAACGTTTTAAGCTGAAATTACGTAATTTTACAGACGATTTCAAGTGGATTAAACGAATCTCATATTGACGATTTAACTTTCGATCGGTCGATATCTTTTTCGAAGTTGAACGAATTGACGAATTTGAAGAATTCGAGTTTCGTCCTTTCGAGAATGTACTGCCTGTCTAAGACGTATTTACGGAACTTGCGTGTTCCGTTCCTTGGGATTTGGTTTTGCGAATAGTTAGTCATGCCGTTTAATTATACACAAGGCATATTACGTAATGGAGAACTAAGACTCGAGCACGCACTCTGGAAGTACAGTGGTAAGCATGTAGAGCTATGAGGTCTTATGGCACTTCATTATTTTAATCATGCTCAAGTGTTATCTTTAGCAATTTTTCCGTTTTAACTCTCCCGTAACGAAATTTGATTTTTCAACTAAGGATCTTCAACTTTCGCTTGATCAGATTTCTTGTAAACGATTGTAAATCGTTGATGCTAACTTTTTGTTAAAAAAAAAAAAAAAAGAAAAAAAGAAACTGACGTACCCTCCCTTGTACAGCAACTTGTGTTATCCAAGAATTATATATAATATATATGTATATTTTTTCCTTGAAGCATTATTATATTGTTATTCCCAAGAGTGGCATATTGAGAAGCTCCAGGAAGCTGGGAAGAGGCTATGATTTTTTTGTAAAAAAAAAAAAAAAGAAAAAAAGAAACTGACGTACCCTCCCTTGTACAGCAACTTGTGTTATCCAAGAATTATATATAATATATATGTATATTTTTTCCTTGAAGCATTATTATATTGTTATTCCCAAGAGTGGCATATTGAGAAGCTCCAGGAAGCTGGGAAGAGGCTATGATTTAATAATATGTACAATAAAAGCTTATAAAGAATTGTGTATTCCTCAAGTACTTGATCCACAAAGAGTCTTAGTTATAAAGTTATACGTATACGTATATCAATGGACAGCCCCAATCTCTGAGTGAAAAGATGTGTGATTCCCATATGAATTTTTTATTTAATTTTTTTTTTTTATTACGTTATTCAAATTTGACATGGGAGTGCTTAGAGAGGTTTTTTTGTTGTTGAGAATATTAAGATTTTGAAAATATTTAAATTTATTGTAGCTTCATTTTTTAACGTAGGTTATTGACATTTTTTTTTTTTCATGATAATTTCCTGTTTTTATCGTCCGCTTTGCACCGAGCTTTAGGATTTATCCCCTATAAAGGAAACAATAGCTGCACTGACAGTTGGAAGTAATACATGGTCGATAGGTCGATATCCATATGGCGATTCATTGTGACAGATCTCGAATGACTTCTCATGACGTCAGCGTCGATTATCGAAGTTATTCTAGGGACGAAAGTGCTGAAAATGCTCGTTGACATTTTTTTTGCAGGGGAACCAAGAAAAAAAAGTGCAGAGAGAACGAAGAAATAGGGAGAATATACCTCAGCCACTGTAAGCGTAGCAGGAGGAGCAAATTTAATTATCATTCACAGCTGGCGTATATTTCTATGTTTTTCAATTCGCGATTTATTTCAAAATTTCGCACGGACACGTGTTTCATCTTTTTGTCAATCTGTCATTTGATCGATCAGTTTATCAATGTACCTGGTAGCAGTTTAACAAGCAAACCCCGATATTGACGTCATACCCTCATTACACTCCTAACGTTACGTTGTAATGGAGAAGGGTTTTTTATTTTAAAAAAAAAAAAAAATACATCGTAACTTCATTAATTTTTATATATATATATATTTTATCTTTCAAGTAAACAGCCTTTTATTGAAAACGAAACAATTCGGTGATCGGAAAAATTGGCAATTTGTCTGCATCGAGTACAATGTGCTACGTGTATTGTGGATTTACAAAGGGAACTGAATAAAGGAACAAAGGGGATGAAACAATACAGAACCGATGTACATTGCGCGCTTGTTCTTTTCACTCGAAGTGATATAAAAGTTGACAAGAAATATAAGCTCTATTTTTTCGTATAATTGCCCAAGTAATTACGAGGCACTACGGCAGAATCCGCCATTGTTACTTAAATCGCTTCATTATTCTTTTTCACTCGCTAATAACGTGAGTCCCGCGAGCGGATGAGAGCGAATTAAAATTAAAGTATTTTCGGCATAACGAGAAAGAAAAAAAAAATCAAAAAAAAAAAAACTTTCAATCCGTTTATCATGATAAGATTTTTTAAATTGAACTCCTATGACTGCTCGTTCGCCCAATGTACGTATCAAGATAACCAACGGATTTCTGGAACTTATTTTTCTTTCGATTAACAATCTACACGATATTCTACAAATGCGGTATAAATCTTCATATATATATATACTCCATGCGAAGTTGCTACACGGAAGCTGTGGCAGTACGTGCGAAAACAATGATTCATAAAGTTGGCAACGACTCATCCACTCGACGGTCGGTCACTTGTCGGGAATATATACCGTTACCAGGGTTCAAATTAAAGTTTCATGCATGCACCGCATACGGGTTAACCGTACGTAGGTACGTAATTAGAAATTTGGAACAGACGCGATTAATGATGTTCGTGCACGACAAATAACTGGCGATACAAACTTTTCTTGAAAGTGACAAGAGCTTCGTTCGGCAGCCAGTGGCGCCAGAGATGGGCAATCTGCGTGAAGTTGACGCCCGTGTCTTCGTGGCCCAGAGCGGGAAATATGAATTGGCCGGTGAACGTATGAGAGAGAAGATCGGTAAGATTTTTCAGGCTTTGAATACGTAATTCCTCGCTCATTCCTGCCGTGTGAGATAAAGCGTCCCTGGAACATCAACAAGAGAAAAAGTGGATTCCACCCTTTATAACTTGCAAATGAGCCAGCCTGGGCTGGGGAGCCCCCCGCGCGAACGAACGGGGGGCGGCTCCTTAGGGAATTAAATGCCACGTGAATTGCAGCCACTTGAATATTTTCGAAGTGACTTCAGCACCCTGCGAGTTACGTACCGGGTCGACTGTATTACTTGAAGATTCTGCGAGAGGCAAAAACAAATACACCCCGAGAAAGATACTCAATCTGCGAAATGGCCATGGTCTTGTCGAGTGATTTTATTTTTTGAGAAAGAAAACAAAAAATATACAAACAAGTCGTGTCCGATCTCCTTAGAGCCTTACCCGGTCCATAAGACGAATTCAATTCCTTCGCCGTGTTTTGCCCTCATAGCTTGTGCTGCTGATTCGATAAGTGCCCATGGCGAATGACAGTTATATTCCCCGAACATGCCAGGAGGCCTTTGGTCAGATCGAATGCGTCCACTGTCTATATTGCTCCTTGTGTTCCAGCACACTGCAAAGAAAACGAAGGGAGGACGAAGGTTAGTGGGATTTAAGGAGTGAAGCCCCTAAAGAATATATATATATATACTTTTTTCACTTAGAAAAAGTAATCCGTGTCTCGGGCGCGGTTGGAATATTTAGCGAGTTTAGTCGTTTACGCTCTGCCAGGATCACTTTGCGTTTTAACGTTCGGCCTGGCGCGTTCGTAATGGAGCAATTCTTCGGGAATGAAAAATAGCAGGGTATCTCGTCTGGCCTGCATAAATCTCATTGTCCTCGACTGGTCGCGATAAAATATCGTCCGAGTAATTATTATATCTATGACTTTGCAGAAGATAATGCAATATTAAAAACGTTATTCCCCTCTGACGGGCCTGTTAATGCAGTGACAGCGATTATCTGGAATTGCTCCATCGCTCAACGATAAACTCGGTCGGTAAGGTAGATGCGTCTGGTGGGTCTTCACGGGGGAGAAAAACGAGCATCCAGGTACGACATGTATATACGTATATAGGGTTCTTAGTCTTTTATTTTACATCCCGCGAAGCCGACTTCACGTTTCTTTAAAGTTATGATACTTTGAGAAACTGAAGTTTCGCGTAAGTTTCGGGCGACGCCGATGACTTAAAAAATACTTGCTCGCTGGTGGAGGTCTGTTTGCCGACATTTTCCATTTTCTTTTTTGCTTATTCGAAGAAACCAAGAGAGGCAAGATGACGGTAAGATACGGAGATGAGACTCTGGCCTAGGAGCACAAAGGACCAGGGTCTCTGGCGCTCTGAGACCATATTCAAGTGGGTAAGCTCTGGGTGCCAGAGAAACGCGTCGCTACTTAAACAGCAAATAAAGCCGTAGTGGAAGTTCGGATTAGTAAAGAAAATGGACAAAAGGGAAGGCTGCGTGTAATGAAGCGGACCAAGTGCGATGAAAACTTACTGCTTCCTGTGTTTCCATGAGTTGAATATCTCGGGTCGTAGTGGATGTCGGTAATGTGCCAGAAGTAACCTGCAACGAAATACAGAGTTTTCATGTGTTTTTTCTTCATTTTTTTTGCAACAATCACTTAACCGGAAATCGCGTCCCCCAGACGTTCAGCCGATCCGCGGTCCGAAATTGTCACGCGTTTGGAAGGCGTAGCGAGTCGCTGAGGTTCGGTCGAAAAATTGTCGCGAGACTTTTTTGGACTGCCGATCGAGTGTCGGATTTGCCGGTTAAAAGTATTCAAGACGCCGGACGTTGCTCCGTATCGGCTATACGTGAATTTTCATCTCGGGTTTTTATCGAGACGATATTATTTCGTCGGAACGAACTTCCCTCGAGTGTCTATTTACCGGAAGAAATTGCCTCTCTATTCACCCAAGAAAGTGCATACGACGTGCGGGGCTTCCCGTCGAAACAATTTTTGAAGTGCTCCGCTCAATTTTACGACACCGTAGCTCGAATTTCGTTTAGACGTCGGGATCATTTTTTTCAACTCTTTCCCCAAATACCTCCGCGTCATCCGCAATCCACGAGTATTTACGTTATTCATTTATCAACGTGACGCCCGAAGACACTGAAGGGAATGAAAATTTTCTATAATAAATTTTTTTTTACCGTACAATAATAACACGCATGAAACTTCAGCGAGCGTATATGCTTCGCTTTGTCGCGTCTAACGAAATAACCTTAAAACTCAAGGACCAGTCCTAATGAAATTTCTTCATTGGATCTCCGTATGAGAAGGTCTTAAAGTTTCTTTTAGCACCGATATCGAATCACCCATAGAGCTATAGGGAAACCAAGATACGAATATTTAATAGATTTATTGATGATATCTCGGGCTACGCGTAAAATTCGATCCAGACTTCGTTCCGTTCCGGTAATTCCAATTCATGATTTCTAGATGATCGTACGCGGTGTCCGGGGATTGGAGTACGGTGGTTCCGGAATAAAAATTATCCGGCACATTGCCATTTCACGTGAAATATCGCCCGGGACTGTGATAACCGGCTGTTTTACGTCGAGCTCGTATTTACATTTTGAGTAGCGGCCCATTACCGGAATAATTTTCCGCGATATTCTACAAGTACTCCCCCGATTTTCATGGTGCGCCCGTAACGTTATTATCTCGGATTACGGATAGCGGAAAACAAAAAAAAAATGCTGAAAAAAAATATTAAAAGTAGGGGACAAAAAATGAAACTGAAATATAAAACGATCGAAACGAATGATATCGTTAAATTGAAAAGCACGACGGAAGAGAGCGAAGCTATTTACGTCCGAAATATATTTCGCCGTGATTCCAGACGTCGTCGGTCGGGCTAACACGTGGCCGAATAAAATTATTAACCAGATCCTCCAATATCTACGTGTATCGCGGTAAAGTTCAAAGACTCACCTATTTTACCGTTCACCGTGCACAGCCAGCACAGTAAAACCAGACAGTCGCGAATCATCCTTTCGGCGTCTGAAAGAAAAGTGTCAATCAAAAGCGTCGAGGATTTACGGGTTTGGATTGCACAGGCGTAGGAGTATATTTCTCTAGGATTCGCGAAGTCGTCAAAATCGTTGTTGTGTAATATGCAGCACAGCCATGTAGCTATGGGAAGCACCTTGCTTGGCCCCTCCTATAATCTCGCCAGGGCTGTTCAGCATCCCCCTTGGTAACGAGGTTCGTAGTTATCGTTAGTATTCACGGGAAATGCGAAAACTCCTCGTTGTAATTGAAGAAAGAGGGACGAGGTCGGGGGCGGCGGGGGCGGCGGCGGTAGCAAAGCACAATGAAAAGTATTCACGCGACTTACTAATTCGAGTGGCGTAAAATCTGTTTAAGCTGGAGCGAAATGTTTTCCGTTATATAAACTCGTAACGCCGTTCACGGCATAACCGGTAACCTAACCTCAAACACGAGGTTGGACACGAGCAGGGAGAGTAGGCACGTATCGTGATTCCCCACGGTCGAAAAAACACAGGCGTTAATCTCGTGCTGTAGACTGGCCGAATAGCGAGCGTCAACCGGCGGCCCTCGCCTGCCCCTCGCCTGCCCCTCGCCTGGCCCTCGCAGTGAAAGGGTCAGCCGAGGATATAAAAGATACTTCTCGCTATCATAAACCTCGTTCCTGTGGTTCCTACCCATTTCATAAATTTGACCAGGGCTTTCTCACGGGGTGCTACGTACATATATACCCGCACTGAAATCTGTTGTTCCTTGTATTTTCTCATGGTAAGAGGGTTACTTCCCTTTCGGCCGACTCCACGTGTTCATTGTTCTTTGGTTGGCAGTCGGTATCACGTGGTAAACTCTTACGTAGGCGCCGGCTTATTGTCTGCGGGTTCGGGGCGACGCTCGAGCGGACGCGATTAACCATTTTCGCGAGTCACTTCTCATGCGAATAAAGGCAAGTCATGCCTGTAAATTAGATCCAGAGGGATCGGTAATGATGCAACGAAATCATAGGCAGTTGGTCAAGTATGGCGAAGATTTGTGATAACGTTAGCCGATAGCGTCTGGAAGAGCGGGTCCGACAGCTTTGTGGGTTGGTAATTGAAATTTTTTTTCTTCGTGTTTTCCAAGCACGCGCCAGCTGATAGATGAAACGTGAAGATGACGGAATCGATATGTAACGTACGGAGAGTCGTGAAAATTCAAGGTTCGAGACGCGTTCAGCCGAATATTTACACGAGCGAATCTGTTGAGGTTATTCGACGTATGCTAAAGCACGCGAGACGCCGAACGTATGAGCTTATAAGCATATGTGGACATGCGAGGCCGTGATCGGAAACCCCTGGGACTTGCTCCGTATGGTGAAGTATGCCGAGTGTGGGAGAAAAAAAGGAGAAGGAAAAAAGCTTACTTGAAATCCCAGTGGCAAGGTGTCTACCTTATCGACATTTAGGATCGGGTTTCCGACCTTTTTCTAACAATCGTAGGTGCCCATAATACGAGTCACTTTGGCACACGTGAAAAGGACCGACCGTTCCGAAAGTCCAGTACGTCAAGGAGCTCCTTTCTATACGTCGGAAAACGAATGGAATCAGTCGGTACCTTGTTCGAGTAGCTTTCGAAAAAGTTTTCGGGCTTCGGGCTGTATATAGGGAAATAATCGGCATTGCAATGCGAAACGCCGATCTGCTTGGAGGTTCTCAGAATCTATCTTGAGACTGGGCGAAACAACGTTTATATACGTATACACGGAACAACCTATAGAAAGTGGTCTCTCGGTGGGTCTCCTATCTTGGCGATAGCGGAAAGAAGTCAAAGAAGAAGAAGAAGAAGAAAACGTCAAATCCCGTACCGCCTTCTGTAGTCCTACGATATCTCTTGGCAGCTGATAAAGCGAGGGTTCAATTCGATTCTAAAAGGTCATTGAGCGTCAAGCTGCAATTTTTCACAAAGGAAAACTCGCTCTTCCCTATATAGATTCGCATCTCTGACCTCGTGAAATCCAGCGCTAACCAGGAAAATCATTCTTCAGTCTCTATCGGCGTCGATGCTCCCTTTCGGTCTCGGGATAGAAAGAGTCCAAAAAATAAAAGCTAGCAGGTACCCAGCAGGCGATGAAAAATTCACGTAAAATAATATTTAAATATAAGCTTGCCACCACGCGGAATGCCAATCTGAAGATCTCTAGTACTCGACGCAATTCACTCGCCCTTTCCTATCGATGCTGCTGCTACTACGCTGCATACTAGAATTCCGTAAATAGCTGAGTGCTATGAAAACGGAAGCGACTGCAGCGCCTCTACCGCACAACCGGAGATCGAGAAACGCCTTGAATCTCCTGTGTAATCTCTATGCGCTCAGACCGTTGTGGACTGTTGAAAAATGACAAGTGGAAAAAAAAGAAAAGGATACAAAAGATTTGATATCCGTACGGTGCACGTAGCCATTTGACTTTAGAAGTAAGGACGGCACTTTTCGTAAGGTTAACAATCCCGTCGTCTCGTTCACCCTTGAAAATTCAGATTTGGACTCTTCTATCAATTCCCATCATGGATGTACGAGCAGTGAACTAACCAATCCAATATGAGATTTGGTAACGTTACGTAATCTATTTAATCATGACTATCGATAATACCAGCTATATGCTTTGCGTTAATGTAATTAGTATTCCCAATATGGTACTGGAACTCAGTTTCACCAATTTCTCGCTATTAACTAACGCACGTGGTATTTTGAATAGGCTACGTTATCCCCTGTTCTATATATATATATATACAGACATACATATTGCTACTGACGTTTCTTTTTATTCGTGAAACGTAATCACGTTCTCGGTATACAGTAACGTTATCGCAACCTCCGTTACTTCTGTTCTTGCATAACGATTTTGGATTTTACCGCATTGTGTGTCTTTCTGTGTATACCGGAGACCATGTATACAGTCGCTATAAAAAAGTGAATATCGTGGCTCTTTGCTATGGTAATCAGGGTAAAAGGAAATGTGACTGGAGATGGACAAAATGGCTGGAAGACCGTATCCTACAATGGAATATAAAGGTTGGCATACGTGGCGTAGACGTCACTCGTGTAACCTGGTAGTCAAATTTATTCTACCCTCACGTGAATTCATTTCGGAATTCGTCCCAGAGGGCTTCGTGACGGGATAGATAGTACGCAAAAGATATAGCAGGTAGGGCTACTAGGTTAGGTACTTTTCTTCCTGTTTCCTGGTTAACAGACGATTTCCGATCGATAATGGTAATGTCCTGGTCGTAGGTACCAGAGCCTCTCGAGATGGGAAATCCTAAGCCGCGAAGACTCAAACGACGTTCACCAGGATCCAGTCCCCTATTCGGCCTCCTGTAGGAACTATGTAATGTATATGTATATATATATATATATATATATATATATATATATATATATATATATATACACGTAACTTCAAGATAGGCTTTCTTCAACGTGGTAACACTAATTTCACGGATAGAGAGCCGTGCAAACAAGAGAGAGAGACACGACTACCCCGGATGTTTTGCGCTGGTCCCTCATTTTGGGTAAAACCCATTCGATTATCCTTATAAGGACTTTTTTTTTTCCTCGAGTCATCCCCGGTCTACGTATTTCACGCAACATACGTTAAGACCAACCTATCTCAGATAGGGACAACCTCATCCGATCTGCGTCCTCCGTGCCGTCACCTATTTCCCAGCATCCCTTTTCTTTTTATTTCCACGAAAATCCTGGAGCATCAGGCACTTCGTACGCGGCCTCTTTATTGGCCCCTTATGAAAAGTCGGATCAAATGAAAATATTTCTTCTTTGAAGTCATCGGAACGCATTTAATTTAGACGCGAGGCACCAGACTCTGTATTGGGGTAGCAGAGTGCCACTGGGACAATACCGAGCCACGTGTCCGGGGACATTGGGCGGAAGTACCTTTTGGCGTACAAATTGCGAAAATGCGAGAGAGCCCAAGGAACTCGAGTGATCCATTCGTCTAATATATATACCAGACTGATCCACTTTAGCAATATACTCGGGTGATCCATTCTCGGAGGATTACAGCTTCTCCGGGAGAAATAAGTGGATCAGTGTGGCCGGTAAGGCGGGAAGTTTTGAAAAAGTGCGTTTTTACACGTTACCTTCATTCTACCCCTGCGTCACGGGTTTTTCGGGTACGCGCCCGTAACGAGGTACGTAACTGCGGACACTTGGCTTCCGGGTAATAAAGGGATGATCTTTCTCGTCCTGCGACCGGTCTTCAAAGATTCATTGAGCGCTGACTTTGCTCGCGTTTATTTCCCTTAACGATGTCATCCCCTACTTCCGTATCCTATCTGCTAGATTGCTAAAGTTTTTAAGGAGTTACTCTCTGCCCGCCCAGCGATTCCATTCAATTCCATTCTATAAATCTACGAACGCTGGCGAGACGTACGTTCATATAAATTCCGACCGGACGTCGTTCGTTTATATCGAATGCAAGTTGAACGGGCTCTGCCCCGGGTACCAGGCGCTCGCGCAGTCGGGGCTCGTGCGTCCGACTGCTGAAACGCTGACTGGTTAACTGGTTTGCAGCCTGGCAGAGCCTGGCTTTGATAACAATGAGGAACAGGAGCGAGAGAATGGCAGGGGGAAAAGATAGCGAATTGAATGAGTGTAGAACAAAGAAATGGAGAGAGAGAAAGAGAATACGAGGGGATTCTGTCAGCCAGATAGAAGTGAATCAGTATATATATATATATATATATATATAAAAGTGTGGAGAACGACCCTCCATATATATTCAACGAATATTTGTGATCGAAGATTCACGAATAAGCATTGCACAGCTTGAATAAGCGAACAGCGAACGCTGAACAGTTTTGTCTGAACAATTCTTTTTTTTTTGTTTTTTAGCAATCAGCCAATCACTAAGCCCACAATGTTACGTATATGTTATATATACATGTCTTACATCAGAGTGATAAAAAATATTTTTTCACTCGAATAGTCCGTAACGTATTCGAGTATATTGCTATAATATGTTTTTCTCGTCTACTCTATCATCGGGTCAGATGCTACCATGCTAACAACAGCTATCAACTCGAGAGCTAATTTTTTTTTTTTTTTTTTTTTTTTTTTTTTTTTCTTTCCCCGGAAGAAACGATGTATTAAGTCTTCCTGCGAATTTATGATAGTGTCGGCAAGTGCGTGAATTAGTGAGGCAGAAGTTCTTTCCTTGCTCGGGCAAGCAGGAACAGATAAGTATGCAGCCCCCACTCGCTGAGACTAGGTCAACCTCGTGTTCAGCCACATAGCACAAGAGGTCGTAAAAGCTTAGTACTATCCTGGCTGCGTGGCAAAATGAAAGCGACACTTTCCCTCGAAATGATGTTGCGTCGGATGGATGATAAAGAAAAAAAAAAGAGAGAGAGAGAGAGAGATAGGAAAAAGCTATGAAACAAAGATCAATGTAGATAGGGAGAGAAAATGAAAAATGACTTGAATGATATTGAACCGACAGATGGCAGCACTTGACAGTCGAAAGAGGAAATAATTGCGTTGATTGGCAACCGGTATAGGGCTGATTCGCGGTTGGCCAATTCAACTGGGATGGGCTTTCGTGTCAATGATACCGTGAGGCGGTTAATTATCAACCACATAGAGGTTAATACTTCCAATAACGTGACTGTCCGCTCTATGAATAACGATCGATTTCTCGGGCGTTCTATTGAAGAGTGGCTTTGGTGAAAGTGGCGTACGAGCTAACGGCGAAGGAGAAGGAGAGAGAGAGAGAGAGAGAGAGGGGACGATGTATAAAACGGGAGAAAAATATGCCGCAGCTACACCCCCAAGTGGAGCGGAAGAGTCTCTTCCCCCTTTATTGCATCGAATATAAATATCCGGGTGCGATGCTGGAGACTCTCATTTAATACCCGTCGCGCAATGAATTTTTATACAGCCCTGCGTTGCCTGTTTAATAAAGTTTGCTCGAGATCAATTTTTTTTCGCGTGTTTGTAAAATTCGTCAAATTACAATGGGAACCTTGTGAAATTTACGTAATCCGTACAATTCGAGAGGAACGCCGTGAAAGGGAGCGAGGGGAAGGAAACGAAGATGGATACAGAGCTGGATGCTGTGAAAATTCTTTTCTTGATCCATCCAAACTCTATGGCACTTTCGATCGGTCGTGTTATCCGAGAAATTTCTTTCCTTATAATAATTTCCTTATATACCGGGTGTCTCGTAATGATCGAACGTCGCATCCATTTGTGCTCCGCGTGACGTAAAGAGTAGTCGAGAGAAACTTGAAACTTTTGCCAGGACCCTGAATAGTCGGACTCGTCTTGTTCCGAAGCTAAGAGTATCGTGTTCGATGTAGCTGCAAGAGGAATAATAATAATAATAATAAAGGCCACGTCATTCTCTTGGCAAGTAATGTGTCAAAGAAAAGAGTCCGTCGTCGTTGCCACAAACGTGGCGGTAATTTCTCGCTAAGAAATTTTTCCAGCGGTCGCTGCACGTGGATTTCAGAGCGGAGCCTCGACGAGGCGACGTAACTTCCGTTTTTCCTCGGAGAAACGACGGGAAAGAGAGAAAAAAAGATAGATCGATTCGAATTGGATAAAGTGAAAAGTCCGTCGGGAGACGCCAATGCGTTTTCGTTGACTGGACGACGTGCGAGGCGGGTCGACGTCACGTGATTCTACTTAGGAAAAGTCAACGAGCCTCATGCCGGCCGGAGGATGAATAAATGCATGCGGAGAGAAGCATTCGCGTGGGTTTTAATATATATATACATAAAAGGAGACAGACGTAGCGAGTGAGGGTTAAAAAATAAAGAAAAGTAGGAGACGGAGGGGTTCCGTTTAAAATTATCGTTAATACCACGTGATACCACATGCAAAAAAAATTGGACAACCGTAGCGTGTTACTTTTTGTAGGAAGCCAGGGAAAAATTAAATTTTTTTTTTTTTTTTTTTCCCTCTACCACCCCACTCCTCCGCCACCCGCCACCACCCCTTTTTGTTTCTTCCACGTACACTGGCACATTCGTGTACACGGCGATACAATTACTTCTGGCTGGTCTAACCTAACCTATCGCGACTTTATAGACGCGCCCGGAAAAATTAATTTTTTTTTTTTTTTTTTTTCCCTCTACCACCCCACTCCTCCGCCACCCGCCACCACCCCTTTTTGTTTCTTCCACGTACACTGGCACATTCGTGTACACGGCGATACAATTACTTCTGGCTGGTCTAACCTAACCTATCGCGACTTTATAGACGCGCCCGCGGAATAGGGAACGAGTAGCGTGCATAAATATTTGAAAAAAAAAATAATATAAAAAAAAAAATTACGCCAATTTGAGTGCAGCCCGGAATATTTAATTCGATACACGGATGATTATGCATTCGAGTCATTCGCACGTAAATGCAAAGCGGACGATGTACTTTTTAGTGAGATTTTTTGTCCGCTTTTCCTACCCCCCTCTTCCCCCAATCCTGTCACCTCTACCACCTTCTACCCCCCCTCGCTTCTATTTCTCTCGTTCACGTAAATTCACCTGCCACCTCTGGCAGAACGTTACGAGCCCATGCACAAGCGCGTTTTACGTGTCGTTAACTACGCGGCCGGAAGACCGATAATTTTAGGAATACCTGTACCTACGTATACACCTATAACGTAGCAGACTCGAGTACCGCGCGCGTGACTGTACAGCTAGGTAAAATTTTTAGTAAATAGAAAAAAAATGAGTGTCAGCCAGTCGACGTTACAGCGTCCATTATACTGTACGTGGTACAGTATTATTTCATCAAACAAACTTGATTTTACTATAGAAATCAAATAAGCGTGTACAGTTGGCACAGAGCTGAAAATCCTACTGACTGAAGTTGCCCGTGTCTATTTGATTTCTGTGTGACGAAGCCAAATTCCCTCGGCACGTTTATCCTGCTCAAGTGTGTTTAACGATGTCGCGTAAGTTCTAACGTATGTTTCTAATTATGAAAAATATTTATATTTATTTATACCCCTTTACGGTGCTTTACGTAACGCTATATGTATATGATAGCAGGCGCGTAGGTTCCTACTTCCTATATCTGGTAATTGACCGAGTTTCCTGTAAGCGAAATGGCCGAGACTGTCGATTCGCTCGTATCTACCTTGAGGCAGTGGCACCTAATGTTATCAAAGGGATTGATGGCTGCGCTAATTCTGGACAGTTAAATATCTCTCTCTCTCTCTCTCTCTCTCTCTCTCTCTCTCTCTCTCTCTCTCTCTCGCTTCCACGTATGAAACATTGTGACGTTGCTGTCCCCTTCTTAACAACTCACTTAGTCGGGATGATGAGAT